CCCCAAAACCCCAAAACCCCAAGTGATTATATCGTTAATAATTTACAAGAGATTAAAAATCATTCAATTTTTATTTATTAAATCTAAGAAATGGAATATTTTAAATGGGCATGTAACTTTGCCTATGATAAACTCATTAATTTATTGCAAAAGCAAAGAGATACAACATTGTAAATGATAAATAAGAATGCTTTTGGGTAATCATTAGAAACTTATATATTGTGGATAACTAACAATTATGCTCAGTTAACTTAATTAATGGCTGAAGAGATCGGTACAAAAAAACTAAAAAATATTATCTAAATGATCAGTCATTACGAAGGAGATTTGAAATTTAAGCTTTTAAAAAAAATTGAGTAAAGAAAATTATTTATTGATTAACTAGACTTGAGTCTTTATTAATTTAATTAGTAGATTGAAAATTGATACATTGAAGAGGGCTTCTTCAAATAATTGTTTGATAAAGTTACAATATTGAATTAAAGGATGTTTTTAGATCAGGTGATGAAGCAATTGAGAGTATGAATACTGATAAAGATTTTGAGATAGAATCTATGAGTGATTAAGATAATTGCATAGATTAGCAAATGGAAAGCAAGATTAATGAGAAATTAGTTTAAAAGCAGTATGGTATCAGAGAAGTTATGAAATACTATGGCCCTAAAAGACTTGTAGCGTTATCTTTCATTAGCACTTTCTTTGGCGCTTTTGGATTTCCATTAAATGGAATGATGTTTGCAAAAATATTTACAATCATGTTGAGGCCGGAATCACCCACTTATATAGCTGATAGAAACTTTTGGTGCTCACTATATACAATTTTGGCTGTTTTAATTGGAATTTTCGAATTCTTGAATAAGAGAAACGGAAAAGTCCTCAATGAAAATCTTATTTACAATATACGAACAAAGCTTTATTAGAGCATTCTCAGGAAGAATTTAGGTTGGTTTGATCGCTAAGAAAGAGCACCTGGTGTTTTAAGTAATTTATTTTCTGAGGAAGTTAATTATCTAAATGGTCTAACAAGTGAATTCTACTATAGTATTTTAGATGCATCTATGTGCATGGTAATAGGATGCTGCTTATCATTTTAAATCAACTGGAGAATAGCATTAGTCAGTCTTGTTACTTGCCCTGTAATGTTGTTTACAGGTTTCGCTTAGCACATTATAGTCCATTTAAGTGCTAAAAATTCAAATAAATAAGGAAATAAACAGATAAGTATAAAAGATCCTTATAATAAAGCTAATGCCTTATTGTCAGATGTGATTCTAAATTACAAAACAATAATAAGTTTTGGGCCTAAAAACATTGATTACCTAATTAAGATTTATGGTGATTTACTGCTACATCCTTATAAAATGGGAGTAAGAAACGCTCACATTTCAGGTTTTCTAAATGGATATGCAATTAGTGCCAGATACCTTTATATTGCATTCATATTCTAGATAACTGGCATCTTTATAGAGCAGTACAATTACGACCCATTAGATATGTTTGTTGCTAATTATACGGTATATATGGCAGCTTTTGGAGCTGGATTCACTTTATCCTAATTACCCTCACTATCATAAGCAAAATCAGCTGCTAATAAAATTTTTGACATCTTAAATGAGAATTAAGGAAAGGATAATCAGGAAGCAGACAATTTTGTGATTAAGCAAGGAATAATTGAATTTAGGGATGTTGTATTTTAGTATCCATCAAGAACTGAAAAAGTCTTAAGAAAACTTAGTTTTTAGGTGCCTGAAGGAATGAAGATAGCAATAGTTGGAAGATCAGGAAGTGGCAAGAGCACTGTTGCTAATCTCTTGCTGAAAATGTATGACATTTAGGATGGCCAAATTTTAATAGATGGAGTAGATATAAAAACTATAGATACTAAAAATCTAAGAACTTAAATTGGATACGTTATGCAAGAACCTATTTTATTTAACCTGACAATCAAGGAAAACATTCAATATGGCAAATAAGAAGCTACAAATCAGGAAATTTTAGAAGTTGCAAATTAAGCAAATGCACTATAATTCATTGAAAAAATTCAAGAAGATAATCTAGAGATAGAATAACTTTCAATCAATGGAAGAAAAATTAGTGATTAAGACTAATATAGCCCTTTAGTATCAAAACTTCACCCTGGATTTGATAAGATTTGCGGCCTTAAAGGCTCAATGCTTTCAGGAGGCTAGAAATAAAGAATAGCAATCGCAAGAGCTTTGATTAAGAATCCAAAAATATTAATTCTTGATGAAGCTACCTCTGCTCTTGATGAATAATCTTAGAATATTGTATAATAGGCTCTTGACAAAGCAATGGAAGGAAGGACTAGCATAGTGATAGCTCATAGATTAAGCACTATTAAGAATTGTGATTGGATATTAGTTATTCATAAGGGTAAGGTAGTTGAGTAGGGCACTTATAAAGAACTCGCAGAAAATAAACAAACTTACTTTTTCAAACTTAAATCAGGGATGGAAATGTGATTCATTTATTGAAGGGCAGACATAAATTAAAGAAAAAAGAAGAAAAAGTCATAGTATATGAACCTGAATAAAATTAATGAAATAACTAAATGTTTGATTTAATTTATTCTTACAATTCAATTGTAAAATCTCTTAAAGCGGGGTTTTGGGGTTTTGGGG